GCGTAGACATATAAAATGGATGAAAAGACATTAATTCACTGGAGTAAAACACATGCTGGGTATCAGGAAAGGTGTACTGTCCAGGAGCTCTATGACACTGTAGAGCAGTCTCAGAAGTGAAGACCTGAGTGCTGCTGGAGAAGGGCAAGATGGAGAGGGTGGCACAAACATGCCCGTGCCCATCCCATGTGCAAATGAGACCCATGACATTCTGGGACTTCTCTTTAAATACAAGTGCCACTGGACTGCAGGCCTACTATAAATGAAGCCCATGCAACAGTTCAGCAATATTGCAAGTTTTGCTACTGTGTGAGCCTTTAATAATGCCATTCACAATGATAACCAGACTAATATACTGAGGCATTCATCCCAAATGATAATGTGGTCTTACATTAACATAATGCTGTCATTTATCAGAGAGAGAGAAAGAGAGAGAGAGAAAAGGAGGGAGGGAGGGACTTAATTCCACTTCTGCTGGGGCAAACAATTACAAATTGCAGAAAGACTGTGCAAGTAAGGAAGAAGACTGGCAAAACTATTAATAAGCCTCCTGAGCTGTTCTTGTATCTGCCTTGCTCTTGCTTTCACTTGTGCTGAGGCTGCTTTGTTGTTGTAGCTAGGCAGGGTTTCAGAAGTGCTGTGATGCCGCCCATGCTGAAAAATTGCAGACACTAATAATAAACAGGAGAAGACAATAGTGAGGAACAGTGCTGCTGCTTGGCCCTTTGCCCAGCAATGGCAAATGCCCTGGGCAGCTTGCAAGTGCTCCTTGACTCTGTGCATGAGGGAAAAGCTGGCAGCATAGAAGAAAGGCTGGCAGCCGCACCTGCATGGGAGACACAGAGCCCTGTTTGCAGCTTGGACGTGAATGCAGACAAGTAGTGAGTTTCCTTTCCAAAAGGAAATACGAGTCTGGTCAGTGGCCTTGGGTGTCTTTTTCTTCATTGCCCTCCCACTTACATTAATCTATCTTTGCCCAACGTTCTGTCACTCTAGCACTGGCTTTGAAGCTTTGGATTTGTTCACATCTGGGATCCCCAAGTGGGAGGTCAAAGCAAAATAAAGAGATGAGGCAGAGCTGCGAAACCAAATTAATAATGTTTCAGAGGAAATGAGAACTAAAGAAATCTTATACACTGAGTAAACCAGACCAACCCGGTTGGCCAAGATGTCTACTGGAACACACAGAGACATCAGGTTTTGTTTCTCAAGACAACAGACTTGCCCTGTTGGCTGAATCACAGAATCACAGAATGGTAGGGGTTGGAAGGGACCTCTGTGGGTCATCCAGTCCATCCCTCCTGCCGAAGCAGGGTCACCTAGAGCACGTTGCACAGGATCATGTCCAGGCACGTCTTGAATATCTCCAGAGAAGGAGAATCCACAACCTCCCTGGGCAACCTGTTCCAGGGCTCCATCACCCTCAAAGTAAAGTTCTTCCTCATGTTCAGGTGGAACTTCCTATGCTTCAGTTTGTGCCCGTTGCCCCTTGTCCTGTCGCTGGGCACCACTGGAAAGAGTCTGGCCCCGTCCTCCTGACACCCACCCTTAAGATATTTATAAGCATTTATTAGGTCCCCTCTCAGCCTTCTCTTCTTTAGGCTGAACAAGCCCAGCTCCCTCAGCCTCTCCTCGTAGGAGAGATGCTCCAGTCCCCTCATCATCCTCGTAGCCCACTGCTGGACTCTCTCCAGTAGTTAGTCATCTTTCTTGAAGTGGGGAGCCCAGAACTGGACAGAGTACTCCAGATGGGGCCTCACCAGGGCAGAGTAGAGGGGAAGGAGAACCTCCCTCGACCTGCTGGCCACACTCCTCTTAATGCACCCCAGGATCC